TAAAAAGCGGGGAGGGAGCCAAGGGGGATTTAATGGGACGAGGGTGTAACATGGCAAAGGGAAGGGGGGGGGGGGGGCAAGGGTACTAATGTTTTGCACGCCATAGCTGTTAGACCACACGTCCTCTCGAGAGGACGGAGCGTTGTGGGGAGGGAGGGTATGTGTTGCGTTTAGTGGTGTGGCTTCCCACGCTGAGTTTGAGAGAGTGTTGGGAGACCGCCTGTTGCCGGACTACTGCAGGTCTCACGTTAAGGATTAAGCAGATCCCTGAACCTGTGGTGTGCGAAGCTCATGACCCTGCAGCAGGGAAGGTAACAACACCCCTTCAGGGGTAGAAATTGGAATGTGGAATGGCCTCGAGAGAAAGAGAGTCCCTGAGCCGCATCGATCGTCGGCATCGGCACCCTCCCTCGGTCGGGCCGATCGGGTTGGTGCACGACCCACGGTCTCTTAGGTGTTGCAACAAGGTTGCCCGGTAGTTTTTTTGTACACGTCGGCGGAGGGAGTAAATATCCACCCGTATCCCCTTCCGTGTCGTCTTTTACCTTTCGTCGTCGACAGCTCTCGCACAACCTCATGCACGCCGTGCACTAACCACCCAAGCAACCCCCCCCCCCCCCCCCCGCAACGTGCCGCCTTCCATCACAACTATTCACATAGCTCGTGCACGACCTCGACCTTTCGGTCTACTCCCCGACGGGCCTCCGGTACAGCATGTGGCGGGACGGGACGGTGGACTCGCTCAACAACAACGAGCGCGTGATCGTGCCCGCGAGCAACATCCTCGAGCAGACCTCCTCGGACGCAACGACGACAGCCGAGGACGGTGACGGTGACGGGACGTGGACCGTGCGCGTCTGGTCGAAGCGGCTCGCTGGGAACGAGACCCAGAGCTACTCGCTGGTGGTCACGGGCGCGATAGGGCCGCCGACGCTATCGGGGGGGAGCACCACCACCACCGCCAACGTCGGGGGGGTTGCGGCGGTGGCAGAAGAAGAAGAAGAAGAAGAAGACGCGTCGGCCGCTGCTGCGCGGGGGGGGTTCTCGAGCCGTGCCGTTCTCCTTCTTGCTTCTTCCGCTACTACTCTTGTCGTGGCTCTTTTGCTCGAGTCTTGGTGATGACTTGTTTGTTGCCCTCCGAACGGGGGGGGGGGGGAGACGCTATTGATTGTGCCTCCTAAACGGGTTTCGACTCGTCGTGTAATTGCCTCTCTCCCACTTCATGATGACAAGTGTGGGGCGTGGCGTATTGTAATGCGTGTAAATAGAGTATACACGGTTGGTTATGGTTTTTGCGGTATGAGTACTGCTGTCTTTTGGTGCCATGTGGGAGGAAGGGAAAAAGCGGCCGTTACTGAAAATATAATTCACGCAGGTTTGTTTGCTGTGTGATTTTTGTGTCGCCGTGCTGTCTGCTCCGGCGAAAGCAGCATCGGCGGCGGGCGGTGTCCCTATTTTTCGTCATCGGGATTTCTTTTGCCCGTGCGTGCTCTTCTTGAAGCAAGCAATAGTGCTCGTTGTTTTTTGTTGAATGGAATGAAGGTGGTGTCTTGTTGCTCGCGTCGTCCAGCCTCGTCTCCGCGTGAGCGTGCGCTGATATACAAGGTTGACTGCACGCGAGGGTTCTGTAGAGACCAAACTCCGTAATAAGCCGAACTGCTGTGGATCTACCTCCTCCGTTTTGGTTGGGTGTGATACGACGCTGGTGTGGGGGTCCATCCTCCTCGGTGTTGTTGGTGTTGTTGTTGCCTTGCAATGCTGTTGCCAAAAATTGTTACCCCGGCTGTTTTGCGGACCCAGTAGCCTGCCTTCGCAGGGTTTTTTGATTAGGAAGTAAGCATGTTGGATAGAGCTTGCGATTTGGGAAAGTTGGGTTAGGGATAGGGTCTACGTACGTACGCACCCCCTCCCTGTTCTACTGGTTTTCCAGACAGTGGGAGGAGGCGTGTTTGAACTCCGTGACGAGCAGGTGCGGGGAGTGTTTTTTGTTGTTGTTGGAATTCTTGGGCATGAATTTAGAATACAGGGTGTACGCGCGATCCGCACTTACTTGGGACTGGGTGCACTGCCCAGGGGGAGGAGAAGGTATTGAACGTTGAACGTGTTAAATGAGAAGGTATTGAACGTTGAACGTGTTAAATTTTTTCTAGCTCGGAGAGGGGTGTTTCTCCGTACAGGTGTAGAGTGTGGGGGGGAGAGGATGTGTGCGCATGGAACCCATCCATCCATCCGTGGTCGAGAAAAACCGACCACAAAGATACTCGTCTGGCTCTGGCCGACCTCGTGATAAAAAAACACCCATTATATTGTTGGGGGAAAGATCGATTCGATTTCCCAGGGGCAGGTGTTCTTTTGCCGCCTTGGCTTTCAGTTCGGGTACTTGTCGCGCGGTAGCAGGAGGAGTGTACCGAACCATAGTCGACAAACAGAGAGATGGGATAAATGAAATGTGAGGACTCGGATGGGGAGGAACGGGCGCCTCTTCGTCGTTTATTTCTTGGCAAACGTTGTCAAAAAATAATTTGTCTATTCCTTTTTCTCCACACGTCTTGGGGTGTCCATCATTATTGTTTTGTCTTGGGAAGTCTTGCCATATTTTGTTTCGATTTGTGGTGCTGAGCCTTGGGTATTGCCCTTGTACCTGGAGTTTTTTAGTTAAAACCTGAGCCATTCATTTTCTCTTTAACGGATCCTTTCGTAGATACTGTAGGAGGCGCTCGCGCCAGGTGGACCAGATGGTAGGCGCATTTATATGTTAGAAGGAGCAGAGATCGTACTGTTTTTTTAGGTGAAGACCACAACTTTGCTTGAATGGTCGTCATCATGCACAGAAAAACAAGACAGGAGAAAAAAAATGTTTCAACACAAGGATACCCTGTGTTAAGATCTCAATAAAAAGTGGTATGCATATGATGCCCAATGACCTTGCAGTCGCGCATGCTGTTGTGTGTGTGTGGTTACACCGCGTTGCTGACGTGCAGGCCCGGCCCGCCCACGTAGTAGCCTCTACCGCGTCAAGGTCCGACTGCTGCCTTCCTCATGGGTACACTCTGGACCATTGCCGTTCTCTGCACAGACATGTACATTCGACCGATCATTATACACCCACCGTGGCAGGTGAGACGCTGGAGACATGCATGCATGCATGCATGCAGCAGAACCTCCGGGGGAGAGAAACGCAGCCGTCGTTCAGGAAACACGCAGCAGATAATTTAGTACAGTGGCGGTCCCGGGATATTGCCCGGTGCGATCCGGCCGATTTCACCGGCACGTGTAGCGGGCGACCGGCATTCATTATTCAGAGTATATAATACCTCTCTTAAGCTGAATGTTCCATCTGTGCCCAGACCATTGTGCACCGGCATTATTCAGAGCATGTCACATCACAACTTGAATATTCCATCTGATCTGTGTCACGCGATTTCGCCGGCATTGTATCGGGACTACTACTGTAGGCAGGCGTCATCACTGATGACGAGCGTGGAACGAGACGCTTTTGCAGCGGCAGGTGGGGCAGATTTAACCGGCGGAAGGCCTGTAGCAAGAAAAGCAAGCGCACGAAAGCTCATCCCCGAGCCCGCTTCCATGGGCTTACGAAAAGGCTGGGTCCATCATCTGTCCTGCTTCCTGACAGCCCGTACATCCTCCTTGCAAGAGGTGACTCAAAGGCCACACCGCGACGGTTTCATACTATAATAGTTGATTGCTCTGTCTGTCGCTTTCAAAACTGCAAACCTTTCTGGCCTCCTCCGCCCAGCACCACCTCCTCTTCCCCCCTCTTCAAAGGCGAAGCAACGAGCTTCCGCGGCCGGAACACGCTACTGCTGTAGCTCAAAAAGCCCCCCCAAATGGGGCAAAAACATAAAAAAAGTGAAATGCTACTTCTACTTTTTTGCCAATCGATACGTGCACACGTGTTTGCTGCATTGTGATGGTATATTCTGGTCGCACGGGATTGCATGTCTAGGTGCACCGTACACAACACAACAGCAGCAGCGTCCACAGTGGACTGAACCCTTGCAAGCTCCGCGTGGACGCAAGATAATGAACGTGTATGACCCCCCCACCCCCCCACCCCAAACAGGACCCCTCCCCGGAAAATACAACTCCCCGTCCAGTGCCCTTGCTCGGAACCGCTCCGCACAGCTGCACACACAGCGCGATCAAATGTGCATACGCCAGGCTGGCTAAAAACTCTTCCGTACGTTTGTGCCGCTGCCCCCCGAGACCCCCAAGAAACTCCAACAAATCGACGTAAGAGGCGACACACGACACAACACCGCCGTTGGTTATATCACCCATCATCATCACCATAACGTGAAAAACTCTTTTCTTTTTTCTCTACACAAATATAAAAACATCGAATGTATGCATACTTGGGAGAGAACTGATACGCACGCAGCGTGGCAATGTTGCTCCGTCAACAGATTGGCAAACGAACGCCAACAAATATTCAGACCTGAAAAAAAGAAGTAACAAACAAGAGGCACCACCCGGCGGTAGAGCGAAGAGGGCGAACAAATAGAGCAAACTATATCCAGTTTCGCAGACAAATAAGTTTTGACCCAGAGAGAACAAGAGACTGATAACACGAGCCGAGCCGGGCGTACAAGGGAGTTCGCAGCAGAAAGCCTCCCAGCCTAACCTCCCATCACCCAGAGAGCTCGTATACATAGCCGACGAACAAACAGATGCCTATGCAGAGTAGTCAAAAGGACAGCTTACCAAGCTATTGACAACACTCGTGAACTTTTTTTACCACGCCAAGAAAAAACGAAAGAAGGGACAAGCTGTAAGCACGCACGTGCGTAACAACCATCTAAAATATCCAGCAAATCTTGTCAGCGAATGAGGAGGAAGACCAAAAGCAGACCACGATAGTAAAAAGACCACACACAACGTAAAAACCCCACCGCGCATGCAGGCCATGTGGAAAAAAAAATCTGGCTCCCAACCTATCCCTACCGCAATATACATTCCAAGAAAAATATATGGCACCCACCGACACCGCAATGCGAAGCCCAACTAAACGTGAAGGCCAATTCCAAAAACAAATCCATCCATCTAATAACCGAAGGGCGCAGATACCAACCGGGGCCTATTCCGATGGCAGTATACCCTTGAGGGGTCTCACAACCGAGCCAGGCGAAAAAAAAAATGCGTCTCGCCTGGCTACAGAATTGTCAGCGAGCGAACGCGCGCACACACACGCATGTAGGCGCCGCTTCGCGGCTTCGCATGAGCCTTGCTTACCCTCCCGCGGGGCGCTCTCAATCGTCAAACAAACTAACACGGCGCACCCATTAGCCAACGAACGCTCCCACCGAGCAAGCAACCACGATTCATCAACAGCGACCGGATGCTGCTGCTGCTGCTGATGCTGCTGATGCTGCTGCTGCTGCGTACCGTGCGCAGGCCGCCCCGCTCTCTCAACCACAAAAGTCTAGGATACCGAAACAATCAGAACAGGCTGTTCCCCCTACGAATCGATAACAACAATAAACAACCAACGCCAGCGTTCCGATGCCAACGCCACGCTGTTTTATAGGAGGATGCCGTCTCTTACAATACACTTTTTGCCTTCTTCTTTTGGCCTTTTCGAGGGACGTCATCCAGCCTTGGTTCCATCGGTAATCATCAAGTCAATCTCAGGAGCAAACTCTTCGAAGTCCGGTGCATCTTCTTGCTCCCCAGCGGCGCCGTTCATCTGTTCGTCGGATGCATTTCCAACGCCACACGGCAAAAGATGCCAAGCAACCGCCGCCGTTACGCGACGCGGGGGGGGGGGGGAGAGACAGGGGCACAACATACAATTTTGGACAAGGAAAAAACTGTGTCGGGTGTTTGCGATCATTGTTGTCTTTCGTCGTCAGTCCGGGCCAACAAACACACACCGAACCGAGTAGTAAGAATCCAATGTAAAAAGACAGTTGTAAAAACGAAATGCTGTAGAGTGGGATTGTAACGAAATGCCGTAGAGTGGGACAGACGATGCTGCACTCGTGGCAAGGAGGCGCACCAGCGCACCGCAAGGTGCTACGGCATATCGCAGGAGATTCTCCCCCTCGCGCTTGGTGATGCGAGAGCCTGGTCTGGTGAGAACCCGGCGTGCTACGTCCCGGCTTTGTAGGGATGCGAGGTCAACGGTCTAACGTCAACGACATGCACGGCTATGAGTCCCCCCCCCCCCCGCCCTTCCCGTCCCCAGCCCGGCGCCCTCAAAAATCAATCAAGCGCGCGTGGCAAAAAATCGCACACACGCCCAACACCTTCCAGTGTTTCATCTTTCCAAACAACGACCAACACACATATCCACGACAACACCAACACCAGAGGGCAAGGCGTTGTCCTACAATCTCTTTCGTCCACCAACTCAACAACGGAGAAATACCGAGGCCCGAGGTTATCTTCCCACTCAGCCGAGCATGAAATATAACAGCACCCCGTCGCGCGTACCACACGCCCAACAAACTGTGCCAAACCCACCCCCTCACCAAAAAGACACCAACGACCCAGGGCTTTACTCCGAGTTGAAATGAACCGAAATTGCAACCCACCAAAAACCCTCGTGCTTCCTTCCCCAATACCAACCCAACCCACCTCAAGGTTGCCGTTCGGCCCTCCCCCCAACACCGCGTCCCACAGCTGCTGGTCGGAGTGGCCGTAAGTCGCAAGACCCGAGCCCGCCGCCCCCGCGCCCGCCCCGGCGCGGCCGCCAACAAACCCGCTCGACATGGCCGCGCCGCCGCCGCCGCCGCCCCATGCCGCGCCACAACTCACGGCCCGCACGGGCGGCGGCGCGACTCCGGCCCCGCCGCCGCCACCACCGACACCGCGGCCGCCGTGGTTCCCCATGAAGCAGCTGGCGACGGTGGCGGCGGCGGCGGCGGCGTTGATGCCCGGCGGTAGGCCGGGGACGCCGCCCGGGACGGCGGACAGGTTGACCCCTTCGCCGCCGGCGCCCGAAAACGCGTCAAAGGAAGGCAAGGCCGCGCCTACCCCTAATGGGTGGCTCTGGCCGCCCACGCCGGGCATGGTTCGCCAGCGCTGCTCCTCCTGATGAGAGAGAGAAGAGAAAACAAAGCGCGTGTCTGATAAACCGCAAGCTTTACGCCCATGGGCGTGCTACTGCAGCATCCAATGGACAGCCCCGAACACGGAAGCCATGCCAGCGAGCACAAAAAAAAATCCGGAGAGACATGACGTCATTTCGTTGGCCAGCCGGTTAACGCCCTCATCGATGCTCATGAAAGAAACGCACAAAACACACATACGCACGCGCACGCACACACGCACACACACACCTCCAAAGGCACAAGCCGAGGAGCTGCGCCTCCCCGTGCTCCCTTCATCGCCACCGCCGCCGCCACCGTCGCCGCCGACGTCGTCCGCGCCATGGGCCTGTCGGCCACCGCCGCAGCCCCGCCCGCCCCCCCGACACCGCCGAACATCATCTCTCTCTGCGACATGCCCCCACTGCCGCTGCCGCCACCGCCACCGCCACCGCCACCCTTGAGGGACGAGACGGCTTGCACCACCGCCGCCGCCGCCGGCATCGGCATCCTCGGCGCCGCCATCGACGGAGCCGCCGTCCTCGCCGGCCGCGCGGCGCAGGTCGGTCTGGCCACCGCCGGTGGAGCCGTTAACCTCGCAGCAGAGGCGGCGGCTGCCGCTGACGGTGGTCTCGGGGGCAGTCTAGGCATGACCACCGCTGGTGCTGCCGCCGCCGCTGCCGCTGCCGCAGGAGCAGCGGCGGCGGAGGCCTTGGAGGCTGCTGTGTCTCGCCGGGGGGGGGCGACGGCGGTGGCAGCGGCGGCACCGCTGGTGATGCCCCCCCGGCCGCCGCCGCCGCCGCCGCCGGAGCTTCGCGAATCAACGGTGCTCAGCTTCGCGGCCCACTCCGACGCCTCGCGAACTGTCCCGGCGCCGTCGGAAAAAATCGCGGGGAGGGGGGAGGGGGGGCGGGGGGGGCAGCAGTGTCAACGTGTGTGTTCTAAGAGTGAAAAAGGGGGGCGAGGGAGGGGGGCACGTTGGGCGGGAACCACTTCGTCGTTGGAACACTTATGAGGAAAGGAAGACAAAAGAGAACGCCTAAATATGAGGAAGACAAAAGAGAGGGAGTTCAAAACTGGACGTGTGAAAGGAGAGGAACAGACATGGCTCGCTGTCCGCGCTCGCTCGCTCTGATTTGTTGGTCTTTTAACATCGGCGTGGGTGTGTCATGACGTCATGGTCATGATTAGCCGGCTGGTCAAACAAAATACAGCCTTAATGTTAGCGCGATCAATAACGCGGTCCATGAGCGACGATCATCGTCATGTGCACAAGGAGTGCTTCCATACCTATGTTTACCTGCACACCGGCTAAGGAGAGGCAACACCCGGCCGGTCTCGACAATATACCCCGAAAAGATACCCCGAAGGGATACATACCCCGAAGGAAATACCCCGAAACAGTGAGCGTGTGTATAAGTCTGAGCCTGGCAACTTATCACACATTCGTGTCCAGCGGTAAATTGTCCTGCGGTAAATTCTCCTTTGTTGTCCTAGTGCAAAAACGCGTTCGGTGTGTTATTTATAGGGGGAAAAAAAAAAAAGACATCAACGGATAGAGATGGATTTGAGAACAAAAAAAACGCACCAGCACGGAAGGTCGTCGACTTGCCACCGCTCGCCGCAGCCGCTTCCGCCGCGGGTCCGAACTGCGGGCAGTGGTGCGGGATGTGGAAGAAACCGAACGGGTCGAGCTTGGCGTGCTCCGCGAGAGCCCGATGTGTCGCCTGCGTTGATGCGGGAAGGGAGGGGTCAGCAGCAACACACGGGAGGGAAACGCCAATATACACAGATCTCGGCGGCGGGCTACTGCTGTACAGAGCCTGTTGTTGGCCGGTTGGGCCATGCAATAGCCGGTTAGATGCTGTACCGTGCCTGTTGCCTGCAACGATCTTGTTTTCTACCATATTGACGGATATACACATCGCACGTTGCTAACACTGAAAACACACACACACACATACACACACACACACCGCAAGCAAGAAACAAAAAAAAAAATGTAAAAAAAGAGGCAAGGTTTTCATGGCATGCGATAACAGCAACGTCATTTAATCGAAGGGGAAGCGAACGGCAGGTGTACAGTACTGTACACCGACAAAGTTTAAGCTGATATCCCACCTGGCAGCGGAAGTGCGAGCACTTGCACATGATGTCGTGGGCCCCCTTCCCAAACTCCGGCAGATTTCTCATGCTCCTGTGTGTGTGACCCAAAGGGAGATAAGGTACCCCACAATAAAAGTCCAAAAGGCAGTGGGGTGACTGCTGCGACGGCGCGTCGTGTTCTGAATGTGCTGCTCTATGTACTGTCGTACAACTCACTTCATGTTGTCTCCTTAACGCGGGGACAGTACTCCCTACATCGGGGAATGACTGTCCTTAAAGCGGGACGGCGACTATTGTATATACAGTCGTACACCTCAAATCATGATGTGTCAGCACCGCGGGGACCGTTTTCCTTCAATCGGGAAAGTGAATTTCCTTAAAGCGGAACGACTGCTGTACATGTACAATATCTCGCACAACTCACTTCATGTTGATGGTGGCGAGACCGTCTCTCAAGCCATCGTACAGGTCGCGAAGCCCGGCAGACTCCAGCATCCCCGCCATCCAGTGAAAGCAGTGCCTCCACGGCGGAAACCTGTCCCATCATCACAACACGGCAGGCGAGAATCCAACCAAACATTTTTTATCACCCCATTTACTTCTCGACGTCGATCTGAACAATGCTGGACGCTCCAGCCGGGGTCCGCATGCCATCAGAAATAGGAAACACATTCCGTCCCTTCCGCCCAGCCTTGCGCCGAGCCGACAAAAACTGGCACCCCAGAAAATCTAGTAAACCTTACGTATGCCACGTTTGCGAAGGGAAAGAGGCGTGGTCAACCGTGGTGGCGACATGCCTCCTTTCTTTCATCACGCCCCGGCATCGTCACGTACACATGGTCGCTCCATGTTCCACGTCACGTTAGAGGCACCACACAACACACACATAGAGCGACTAAACACCAGTTTTGGTCCAGGACGGAGGTACTCGCCATTCTCCAGACGAAGTATGTAAATACCATGCACCAAAATGAACCAGGGTGCGAGCTAAATACCACCGGGGTCGGCGCCCTCCCCCCCGCCAAAACGAACCAAACCACGCCAGTTCACTTCGCCCCGCCGCCGCACAGCGGATCGAAGAAAAGGACCGCCTTCGCGATAATATAAATAAAATTTATGAGGAAGTAGAACAGGGAGAGGGGGGGGGGGGGGGGGTACGCAGACCCTATCCCTTACCCTAACGTCCCCCCCCAAAATTGCATGCTTCATCCAACATGTTTACGTAGACGAAAACCTTGCAAAGGCTGCTACCGGAATAACGCTTCATCCAACATGTTTACGTAAACGAAAATCCTGCAAAGGCTACTGCAGTAAAACCAACAAAATGGTCATAAATAACTCGCCTGACGATACCGGGGAACTCCTTGAGGATGGCGGAGAACCGACGGACGGCCCTCATCGCGTATTCGGCGTTGCCCAGGCAGAGGTGCGAGAACGCGGAGTTCGCCAGGAGCTTCACGGCGCAGACGGACCGCGAGATACTCGGGGAGGCTGGGAAGAAGAACAAGCCCACGGAGCCCCCGCCCCGGAGGATCGAAAAACGCAAAAAAAAAAAAAAGGGCGATGGAGAAACGAAAATATTAGAGAGGCAGGCGAGGGTAGGAAAAGGAGCGTCGTGTTGCTACTTCTGGAGAACGCCAACGGCTCTTCGAGGAACACGAGGTAAGATATACCATAAGATCAGCTGGTCGACCCGTGGTTTAAGTCGGGGGTTAGGGGGCTGGAGACCGCCGTGCGGCGCTAGCCATCAATTACGCTCCTAAATCGAGAGTGAATAAAGGACACTCATTCGTTCCTGTCAGGGATCGCGGTATCGCTACACCACCACAGGAACACATGCGTTCAGAAAACAGCAACACTAACAATCAAATTTGTGGAAAATATACACACAATCGCAGATACACTCTTAACCGTTCGAGACAACACCACAGGCCCTAACAATATACCATATATTTTTTCACGCGTCAATAAAAACAGCAGTGTCACAGCACACAGGATTTGTTGTCATGTGTCAAACACACAAAAGGTGTCGAGGCCGACGGGGTCGACAACTAGCGATCAACTCACCCAACACCGGGACCAGAATAGCGTCCGCCGTATTGGCCACGATCCGCGCGTCCTCCTTGATCTCCGCCCAGGGCTTGCCCGCCACCGCCTTGCACATCACGCTGATGCAGGAGCAGTCCACGCCCATCGACACCTCCAAGATCCGCGTGTCTCCCACGAACAACACCTGGTTCGTCTGAGGCGGGGGGGGGGGGCACGCACACAATAATCGATCGGGGGTATAGGTAATCAGCGAAGAGGATGACGCCGGGTCGCAAGACTTATGATCATCACGCCAAGCAGCCCAGGGCGTGTTCACGCGGTTTGATTGGTTGGTTGGGTGTGGTGACTCCAAACCCTGTCCGGAAAACAAACTCCAACCTCACCCCAAACAATCCACAGGCCATCGGTTGATTGTACGCCTGCACAATTTCAGCGGTGACCGCATGCTTTCTATAGGCCGGGCACCGCACCCTTGGAAGCCCGAGGGCTACCAACCAATCAAAACCGATAACGAGGAGGGGACCTAAGTCACTTGTGCGCGCACCCCTGTGGGCAGAAAAGGGGGGGCACACCCCCAGCAGACCCTACAACCCACACACAGGAAATTTGTTGTTACGTGGAACTTAGATTAACATACATGCGTAGATCAGATACACGTTCGAACTTTTGACTACGGAATACATATACTGCGAAGGAGAACATTTATTGATCTTTTTATCTCTGTGTTGGTTAGCGTGCATCAACATTGAATTTACAGATAGATTCAGTAGGTCCGCGCTCGATTCGCTTGCCCCGTCAAAAGCCCGACAGAAATCTAACCGCAATCTAACCCCAGACTTGCTCCACCTTCAAAGGCGGAAACTTGAGGCCGCCGCCGCCGGCCTCAAAGGAGCTACCGCCGCCGCTCCCGCTCCCGCTGCCCGCGCCGCCCTCGCCCGCGGGCATGATGGCGCCGCCGCCGTCGCCCTCCTGCTGCTTCGCCTCCCCCCCCCTGCCGCTGCCGCCTGCACCTCGGCCTTGGCCCTCCTTGGCAGCGGCGGAGGAGAGGGCGAAGTTTCCGAGATGTTTCGCCACGGGGTTGTCTCCGAGGACGCTGATGCACTCCTGGACGCGCACCGCGCTCTTGAGGCCGGGGAACTCCTCGTAGGCTTTTTTTGCGAGATCGTCGCGTCAATTCGTGAGTTCAATCAAAGCAGGGATTGAGCACGCGGGGAGGGGAAGAGATGGCCGTCATCCCGAGAATTGTTTTAGCGCGTAAAGTCACGTCAAGTATTCGTTGTAAAAAAGGGAGTTCATAAGGAAGGGAGGGGAGGGTAAAGGGAGGGGATGACGCCGTCCCTAGAGTTTGAGCGTACACACAACCCACACGTTACGTGACCGTGAGCGTATGCGTATATGTCGCCTCAAACTTTACGCGTACCGGCCGCCCTCTTGCAGACGGGTTGGACAGCACTAAGTAGACCTTACCTAACGCTGACGGGTTGGACCGCAAAGCTCCCGCCAAGATGGCCTTCTCCTTGAGGGTAGAGAGTTCGTTCTGCGACAGCATTCGCGGCTCGTTCTCCTTCTCCTTGCACCCCGCCGCCGCCGCCGCGGCCCCCGGGCTATCCTTCCCGTCCCCTCCCCCCCCCGCCGTCTTCTCCTCGCTCCTGGATCGCCAATCGTCGCCGCCGCCCCCGCCCATGCCACCACTCCCGTTGTCCTCGGCAATTCGGGCGCCTGCTCTCGCTCTGCCGCCGGTCCGACCCATCTCGTCGTCGGCTGCGGCTGCGGCTGCCGCGGCGGCGGCGTCGGAGATTGACCCCGCGCCCGTCCCGCCGCTTCGCCGGCTACCGCTACCGCTACCGCCGCCGCTGCTGGAGGCGCCGTGAGCCAGCGGTGGAGCGATAATTCCCTGTCGGCGTTCGTCGTCGTCGTCGCAGAGAAGGATCGGCGGCGAGGGGAGGGGGGTACTAACGTAAACGCATGCCACATTGGATCAATGGCTACAATGCCGGGACGGGGCGATATGCCAGGTTTTCGCCGGCCCCGGCTACGGCACACCAGAACGAACCAGAAGCTGGTAATCGATCTTACATTTGCTGTGCCAAAACAAGAGGCGGGGGGGGTAGGGCGGGTACTCATGAGGGGGGCGGGTTGTCGAGATTCTACCGCCGTTGGAGCCGAACGCTTTGGCCGGAGAATCGGTATCCGTTTCAGTACGGGCCGCCTGGTTGACGATCGTACCCGCTCCCCCCCCGCTCGCCTTGCTAACCAAGAACAGGGCCAGGCTGCATCATGGGACGAAAATAGCACAGAGTCCTCACACGGAAAATATTTTCTTCGTTGTTGAGTGTGGACTTAGCGCCGTCTCCAACCAGATGGCATGCGTCAGTGGCCACGAACCAACAACGGTAACAAGAAAGACGAAGACGCCCGCCCCGCTCGTTCGGTCATTTGTCGCCCTCCCCCAGAGGTTTCAACACTCCTATGCTCTGCTCGCCGCCCCTAAACCGCCAGGCCCCCCACCTCTCTCGGCCTTACCTCTATTGGCGAGTTGCTTTCCTCTCCTTCGAGCTCCAAGAAATGGCTCATGGCATCGAAGCACTTTAGGAGAAATTTCGCCGGTTCCGAGCACCCCTGCTGCTGTTTGATGGGAGGGGCGTTGGGCGGGGGAAAGCATTAGCCTCCTTCGAACAGCGGTAGGAGCGAAGTCCAGAACGAGAGCCAAAAGCGAGCCTGTACCAACAAGCGTTTTTCACGCTACAACAGTGGTAGCGATACGTGTTCACGAGACGCCACGTGCCGCCGACCCGCACGTCTTATCTACAGCAAACGGCGCGTGCGTTCGTGAACCCTTTGCCAGAGAACCAACCAGGCAACAACAGAGCAGCGGGAAAGCGACAAACGGCACACAGCAACAAAAAGAGCCACCGCGAAGCACAACCCCCGCGGCTAGGCCCAAGCGGGACCGCGAAACTAACCGCCAACGGTGGCGGAGACGGGCAAATCGCACGGTCGTTACCTTGGACTGGGAGCCACGGGAGCCACCTTGTGGTAGTTTTGCCGACGCCTGCAACAAACACACGTGTCATACACACGCACGGGACAAACAAGGGTAGTGCCTGCCGTAAGATTTCCGATTCTCAAAGGCTGAGGAAAAGCACCACCGAAAGTCCCGCTACGTGCCCCACAGATGGAGCCAGCGCTCGCAGGAAGACAACAAATGGCGAAAATGCGAAAAATGCTGTTGTTTATTTGTGGGGGCGTTCCAGCGAGCCTTGTAGGGGTGTTCGACTGGACACTATCGCCTCTCTCGTCCTCATTGGCATGCATCTGCCGGCATATATACATATGTCGGCGAGGCTTACTTGTCAACTGCTACCTAGACGCACACGGGTCCCAGATCATGGCCTTCAGAAGCAATTTGTGTTTTCAACCGCACCGAGACTGGCGTCATTTCATTGGTCAGCCGGTTAGCGCGGTCGATGCTGAAAATAAAACACGCAAACCCCGCTTGGCAGTCCTGTACCTGTCGGTCCAAAGAAGCCGCGACATCGTTGGCCATGGCCGTGTAGCGGAAGAACTTGGTGAAGTCTTCCCGGAAGGAGTGCATGTGTGCCAGGCACAAGAACGCCCTCAGTACCTTCCGCCGCGGGGGCGCGGTTTCGACACCGGATGCGAAGCGAAGCAAAAGGCAGGACGAAAAAAGAGCTGTTCACGAAGAGGACCGTTGCAAATACGACGGGGTTGTTGGCTACTCGACAACAACCACCCGTGACGAGCAAGACACGCAGCAGCAGCAGCAGCAGCAGCAGCAGCAGCAGCGTCTTGTTCGCGCGGACGCAATAACCGCGAGAAGTCCCGACCACCCCCAGACGGTCGAATATCGTTAACGCACCACGTACAAGCACACAAACACAAGCCCTCCCCTTTGGCAACGTACGAAGGAACGATTGGCCATCGGTGATCGGCCCTGTGGGAATAATGCTCCGTCCTCTCGAGGACGCGTGGTCTAGCCGCAAAGGCATGCAAATACGCCCCCCCCATCCCTCCCCCCTCTCACCTCCTCCGAAACGACGTCGTAGCACCCCTTGATGGCCTCCCTGGCGTTCTCCGCGTAGCCCGAGGTCGCCTCCGCCGTCTGGCCGCACAGCATTGCACCAACCCCTATCCCGGCCCACAGGCACGCCACCCCCGCCGAGAGCCTCGCCCGCTGCGCCCGCTGCTTCAGGTCCTTCTCGCTCTCGCCCCCGCCCGCGCCCGCGGGAGTCCCGGCCGCAATGCCCAGCCCTCCCTGCGGAAAAAAAACGGCGGCGATTCGAGTATTACGGTCATACACGGGGCCAACGACTGATGCGGAAACGGCCCTGAAAATCTGGTAGGCGATACCGTAAAAATAAAGTGCTTTCTACACCGCTGTGATGGTCAATGCAGCGCCTCAACGGGGGTGACACCATACGTCGCTCGGACAGCAGACACGCCCCCCCCCCCGGGGTGTCTACATCGAGGTAGGTACATACGTCTCAAGCTCGTTTGCGAGCGCCCCCTCTCACCTCTTCCAGTCGGATGAGCTTGAGGCTTGGCTCTTCCCCAACGCCGATACCCCTGCGGGTGCTCGTACCCCCCGCAGAGGAAGAGTCCGTGGAGGGAGAGTAGAAGGACTCGCCATCGACGCTGGGCATGCCGAATTGGCCATCGCTCAGGACGTGGATCATCGCTCCCCGGATTTCGTCCTATGTAGGGGGGGGGGGGGGGGGTACCCGCGGGTAGGACGAACAGAGCCAGGGAGGAAAACAAAGGGCGGGGGTTTTCACAACAGCCTGTTGAAACGTTTCACAACAGCCTTTTGAAACGTTTCACAACAGCCTTTTGAAACGTTTCACAACAGCCTTTTGACACGTTTCACAACAGCCTACTGAAAAAGTTTCGCGGGCGATGCCGTTGCATGGGGCCGCTGTTCGAAGCGCAACACATGTTGCACCGAAAACCACTACGAAAAAAAATTGTGCTGCTGTTTATAGTCGCTGCTGCTGCCGGCGCCGCCGCCATTGCTTCTTCCTTGAACATAAACATCTATCCCTCGCCTGTACCTTGGAGATCGAGAGGACTTGGTCGCACTCTTGCAAAATTCGGCCGAAATTCACCATCTACTTCGCGTGAAAGCGACACCCTCATGTTCCCCAAAGCGAACAAACAGATCCACCCCGTCACATGTTTCTTACTACATCCACGGCTAAGAGTCCGGGATCAATTAGCAATAAATCCACAGCATTTCTTTAGTGTTCTCGCCCCCCACCTCTTGCACGATCTGGGTGCAGGACCCGAAGCCACTGAAGAAGGCGTTGAGGTGGCGGTTCTCCTCCAGGCCTAGCGTCCCCGTCCCGTGCGACGGTGTAAGCCTCACCACGTCGCCGTCCGTCATCCGCGCCATCTTTAGCCGGGGGTGCGCCCCTTCCTTCTGACGGCGGAAGAATAGCGATACGATGAGCAAAAACATAGAAAGAACACAGCAGCGCAGGCGTTTGTAGAAAATATATTGAAACCCGTCAACAGCGACAAAAGGAGCAAAAAAATCGAAATAACACAGCAGCGTAGGCTTCTTTTGAAAATACCTTGTCGGCTGATCTGGGTATACATGTTTTTCCATGTATGGATATATACTGAAAACACGCCAACAGCGGTGACACGAGGAGTAAACAAACCGAAGAAACACGCCGTAGCAGCGCAGATTTTAGTAGAAAATGCACATACATACAACCAAAACGCCAACAGCGAAACGAGGAGTAAAGCACCGAAAAAAAACAGCAGCCCAGGCTACGAAAGAAATGTGGCTACAAATCAAAGAGACACTATTACCCGTTCGAGACAAAAGGTGCCACAGCAGTCGAAGGCCATGCGTTGAACTAACTGCCTTTTGTTTTGCTGTTTTGCTGTTTTGCTGTGACTCCGAGGAGGACGCGCCTGACGGCAGTTGGTTGCTATCGGGAGGGACTTGAAACACCCACAAAGCAGCCGCCACCGCCACTACAATACAACCACCGCCACCGCCACTACAATCTCACCTGCTGCTGCTGCTGCTGCTGCTGCCCCCCCCAGTCCAGCATACTCCGAATATCCCCTTCCCCGACCCGTCCCCGCTCCGTCTCGCCGCCGAACAGGAACATGCCTTCACCCTCACGACCACGTTTAGGTTTCGGCTTAGGACCCCTGGGAAACACGCCGACGTGCAAATCGAAACAACAAGTGGGGGATCGGCGGGTGTGTGTGTGCTCATAGCCTCATAGCCGGGCATGCCGTAGTCGTTAGACCATTGGCCTCGCATCACTGCGAAGCCGGGGCCATTGACCACGCGTCCTCGAGAGGAGGGAGGAGCAGGGGGGGCGGGCGTTGAATACGTTGTGGCGAAGAGCTTTACACTTAACGAAAAGGCGGGTACAGATATACCAGCGACGGTACAACTGCTGTACCTAATGATGGTGTTGAGATGCATGGAACCATGGTACGCCGGAAGATCCTCGCCAAGAACTCGCACGGACACAACAACCGTCTTCGCGGAACGGCCGAGCGGGTCCACCGTGTGAGCCCGACTAAAGCGAAGTCGTCACCAAAGCCTATTTGCCCTCCAACATGCATATCTGCCTCCTCCTTCCGCCCCTGTCAATGGCTGTTTGCTCCAAAGATCGTACGCATATGCATATGTGCCAAGTATAATGCATTGTAGTATCATACGGCTCTCGGAGAAAGCGTAAGACAGATCCCGCCCATGCACCTTTTCGCGATCCCCGAAACCACCCCCCCCTCAAGCGCAAAAACAGCAGCGGACGCAACTTCGCAAAAAAGACGATGGCGTGATGCACAGCACCACCTCACCCATCCACGCACCTTCTGCCCTTCTTGCTGTAGGCGCAGGTCACGCCCTTGGTCGCGCACAGGGTACAAGGGTTGATGCCGTCTCCATCGCAGCGCCTGTTTTTTTTTCGGGTCATTTTGAGGACCGTGCGGTTTTTGAGACCAATGTCGTGCAGCGAATGTATCAGCGGGCGTAGAGAACGACTGACCGTTCCGTAAGGTTCGTACCCCAGCCACACAGCACCCAAGCCAGGATGCCGTGCAGAGCAAGAAACAACTCTACTCTTCCCCTCCTCCCCGTGATTGCCGAGAGCTCTCGAGCACCGTAAACGTTCATGGAGCATGAGTGTCTCTGCAGGTGGTGTTGAGCCTCCCACAAGAACGAACGAAATCTCTTCGGACAAAACGCGGGTGACACAACAATGCCCAGCTGCTGCTGCTGTTTTTAATAGTGTGGTTCACAACATGACAGCACAGCTATTGCTGCACCTCACTCAAGACGATGTCCTTGTGCATGGTGAAGGTAAGGAAGATGATATATTTGTTACCCCTTTGCACTCCACCTCATGGCGCACGCAGTTCATGGACTTGGATTTTTTCTACAATGGACTGACGAGGAGACGAAGAGACTGCTAATTTACTGAACACACAGCAGCTTCCTCCTGTTGGCAAGAGATCGCGAAAAATGCGGCTCGATTTTTCGGCTTACCCTCATAAGAAAGTCTAGCAACGGGCTGGTTTGCGATGAACGAAGCATTAGGACCCTCGGATTACTGCGAATGTGGTGCAGCAGTGTCCGCAGAAGAAAAAGAGCGGGACGTGTTGGCAATTTTTACGCACACGCCGTATATTTTCTCGTCATCGTCACGAGAAAAACACAATAAAAAAACAAACGTAGCATCAATAATCATCGTGACAAAGAGAGAGAAACACGCCACCATACAAGTACACGCACAAATCCCCGCCCTCCTTGTGGAATGTTCACCGTCGCAGGAGGTTCTGCCGAGCGTGTGCGTAATGAGATGTGAAAGAGCAGTGCACTGGCCGGTCCACCACAGCTATCCACGTATACTCATTCAAACTGCTCGCACGCCTCGCAAGATGGTCTCCTAAAATGGATTTTTCATTCTTACTGCTGCTGATTCTTCAGCAGAGGTTGTCTCTTGGAGAAGGATTCGCGAAAGAGGGACCAAAAAAGCAGCAGAGAGCGCCTGGCGGGATGGACTCGGAGCAGGCAGCGGGGGGTTACAACGTATGTCCCGCCAAGGATGGGGGGCCATCGTTGTTGGCAAGCCTTTCAGGTGGAGGCGGGGGGACTCGCTTTCGGGTAGTTGTCACACTCCCCTTAGATGCTGCATGTTTCTCGTTCTCTGTTGTTGACACCCCGTCCATCGACCTCTACCTATGTACTGTGCTCTTTTGCTGTCTCCACGGAGGATGGGTGGGTGATCCGGGATCCTACCCCCCAAGAAGTGGTGCATGTCTTCGCTATCTCCGCGCGACAAAAACGTAACTCAGTCTTCGGCCGCTTTCGTTCCAGAACCCAGCATACGTAGCTCTCTCAGTGGGCAACCCCGCCCCCCCTGCCTGCTACCTCACCTTTTCCTCGAGCAGCACAAGTCGCAGCTCTTTCTTCGCTCCCCTCCGACAGGATCGCTCCCCACGACGCGGGCGGCCATCCTTCGCAGCCGTATATGAAACCACCGCCGTAGGTAGCAGCAGCCGCTCTCTTGCCTCCCTGCCCGTGGAGTCGTTACACGCGCCAAGCCTCCTTCAAATTCGGTGCTGGACTCGACACCAACAGCTCTCTCTTCCTCCTCTCACACCAAGCACCCCCGTTGCCTGAAGACTGTTCGGTAGCTGAACGCGACCAGCTCGCTTGCTTTCCGAGCGCGCCGTGGACTCTCTGCAGAGTACCCTCGATGCCTGGGATGATGCTCGATCGAAAGCCAGCCAGCGATGGTTGAACGTAGGACCCGTCCGAAGAACGCTCTCCGCCGTAAGGTGACACTCGATACACCGCTCCAACTCTCTGGTTGCTGCCGGAAAGGCCGTCTCCTTCTCAGTCACCTTCCTTCACCTCCTGCCGTCCTCCAACAATGCTGTCCTCCACAAGACAGCAGCGGTAGTGAGCAGCCTCGGCGCTCGTGCCTCCTTGTCCTGCCTGTGGTCCCTCTCCCACTCTCGCCCACTCTCTTCAAGGGGGCACGCAGATGTAGCGCTGCGGCTGGGGGGGTCAAGATTCCGACGGCGGCGTGCCACAAAACCGAACAACGCACGGAACGTCCGGGTTTGCGGCAGAAAGTTAAGAAAATCCAAAATTACGGAAAAATTACGGAAAACGTTGGGAAAACAGAACGATATGTTGTCTCTACTCCGCACCCTGCCAGCCCGACGGCGGCCGAGAAGACATAACCAGATCACAAGCGGTTAGGCACACCGGATCATTCTTGGCTTATACCCAACATGGATGTAAGTCAGCTGCTGTCTAACGATGACTGGTCGGCGAGCTCGACATTGGGTTTAGGATCGATCGTGGATCGTGATGATGACCTTTTTTTTTTTTTTTTTGTCTTCACTTCAATTGAGCGCTCACAGCACTACTAGTAGTGCCGTGTACTCCAACCCGTGGTCACACAGAAGAGCCCCTCTCTACCCTCCCCCCCTGCGTTACTTTGCCGTCGATTTTAATGATCCTTGCATTTGTTGACTCAGATCTAATCAAAAGTGGTGGGTATTGGTGCTCGCCCAGGAAGAAACAAACAAACACCGAAAACACCGAAAACAGAACAAAACCATCCGATCCCTGGACGAAAAGGCACCGGGTCGTTGTCTCCTCTTTGTTCCCTGCTGCGGAATACATGTCCTCAAACGGATAGGTACATCGAATGGATGGGTCTTCACGACGTTGGCGCACCGAAACACACCAAAGACTGCTCCAATCTTCACACGACTATTTATTGTAAAGCGTGTCTGGCTGGAAGTCTAGACTTGGCAATATCTTCATTAAACATGTGTGTTATTTTATTATGCTACAAATCAATAATTTTGGTTCAAGAATAAGATTCGGCTTGTTGTCTAAACCCCCCCCTGGGGGGATTAGTCTCTAAACACCCCCCCGGCTGTATCTCCGCCCACAAGGCACCAATCGAGCCAGGACATGCACGGCTGTGTTGCTGTGATGTGGGGGTATCGCGAGATACCTCGTACACAGCGGAACCGGTGCAGGTTTGGTGCAGCCATGGCTGATGGGCAAAACATACCTGTTGCCCCAACCTGCCCCCCGGGGGGGGATTAGTCTCTAACACCCCGTCTGTATCTCCGCCCACAAGGCACCACTCGAGCCAGGACATGCACGGCTGTGTTGCTGTGATGTGGGGCTATCGCGAGATACCTCGTACAGCGGAAACGGTGCAGGTTTGGTGCAGCCATGGCTGATGGGCAAAATATATCTGTTGCCCCAACCTGCCCCCGGATTATTAGTCTCTAAACACCCCCCCGTCTGTATCTCCGCCCACAAGGCACCAATCGAGCCAGGACATGCACGGCTGTCTTGTCATCTCGATTGTTTCTGCTCGTGTCTCCACCACCGTGCTGAAGGCCAATCTTGCATCATCTTTACACTTCTACTGCGGTTCTTGTGTGGCCATCGGAGCCTTGTACAGAGGTGCGAGGTCCATGGTGAGGTATTAGAATATCCCCCCCCCCCCCCCCCAAAAACACATCCCTAATTTACCCCCCCCGCGCTGTTACCCCCTGAAAGGAAACCTTTCGGCTACTAACCCCTTTGGGCTAAAAACAAGGGTCATACAATAACCCTACAGCGAAACAACACAATTTAACATGTCCTGTGTCCACTGAAATCTTGTGTGAACACATACCCCTGCCGGGGGGGTAAACCAGGGTTTTTTACCCCCCCTGTGAAAACGCCGTGTTCCCTTTCCCTTGGGTGTGTGGAAAACTGTGGGTAAGAAAACCTTAATTGCTGGTCCCCTCCAC